GGAGGGAGGCTGTAACTTTCAGAGAACTGAGGTAGGCTCCAATGAATTCCAGTTTTTGTACAGGTATCAATGTTGATTTTTGTACATTTATTTGTAGTCCCAGACCTACCATGTTTTGTGTAGCCTCTATTGTCTCTTGTTAGGTTGGCACTGTCAGTAAGCAGGTGTTGAGATAAGGAAAAATTGTAATTCTTTATCTTCCGAGATGAGCCGCGACCACCGCAAGGACTTTTGAGAAGATCCACGGGGACATGGATAGTCCGAAGGGCAGGACCCTATATTGGAAATGTTCTGTTCTGAGAGTAAACCTGAGAAACTTCCTATGTGAGAGTTGTATCATTATATGAAAATATGTGTCCTGGAGATCGAGGGCTGAGAACCAAGCCCCTCTTTCCAGCGCTGGAATTATGGTTGCTATTGTGATAATTTGGAAATCATAAATTTGTTGAGCTGTCTCAAGTAGAGAATGAGCTTCCGTCCTTCCGTTTTTTCTGAGGTAGAAAGTAATGTGAGTAAAAACCACTTTCCCTGTGTTGAACTGGTACTGCTTCGAGTTGTATAAGATAGGTCACTTCCTGTCACAGTAGTTAGCAGTGTGCTCCTTTGCCTGAGACACCATGGGAGAGCCTCTATCAGAGGCTATTGTGGGAGACAGTTGTCCAGGGGGGAGTCTGTGCTTCAGGTTCTGACTCTGTGTGCAGGGATTTCTCCATCATAAGGAGTTTTAGTTGTAATTCTCTGGCTTTCCTGGTGTGGGCTCTCAGTTTATCATAGTGTGCACACTTCTGTGGTATACGTGCTTCGCCCAGGCAGTGAACACACTGCAAATGCCCATCCGAGATAGGAATCGAAAGTCTGAATGTCAGGCAGTGTTTGAAACCCAGGGATCTGGACATACCCCTCTGAGAGGGGCTTTCTCCCTCAGGGGAGAACAGCTGTAATCTAAGGGGTCACTAACAATTGAAACTTATCCTGAGAGAATTTTTTTTTTAAAAAATAACAAAATAATAAAACAGAGGACAGAAGGCTATATCTAAATAAACACTGTGTGAACTAAGTTCAATAAAGAGGTGCTGCTAAGTGCTCTGACTAAAGCCAAAGGTGGTAGAGAAGGAACTGAGTGGGGGGTTGGCCACGCAATGCTATGTAACCACCTCAGGCAACACGAGACAGGGACGATGCATGTGTGTCCCAACCGAGCACGGCTACTACAAATCTCCAATTACCAGCGCAATTACCAGGGCACCAAAACACTTAAAGTGGAGCACACACAAGGACACTCCTCGAAGATGAACTGGACTTCAGAAACAACACTGACACCAGTAGCTCCAGACCTTCTCAACTAACTTCTTCTCTTTTCCCCAAATGGACAGTAGTTACCATCTTTAATACCATCTAAGAGACTGTCAAACAACGGGGAGTTCCTTCTAAAAACTTTCTTCAGCTAAGGGAAAGGGAACAAGGGTTGTGGTTAAATGAAAGCCATACTTAATATTTTACATTTCAAATGCTTTAACTGTTTTTCTTTCTTTCTGTATCTTTAATAAAAGATAAAGGATTTTTAATGGTGTATTTGCCATGGTACTAAGCAGGCTGTGTCTCTGTATATCCAACCCCGAATCTTGTTTAAAACTGTTTAATGTTAAACAGCTTCAGGATCATGTTAATATCTTTGAGTCTTCGGACCCATATATTCCATCAAAATTAATACAACAGTACCTATCTTTAAAAATGGAAACAAAGAGGACCGGGGGTGGTTTATAGACCAGTCAGCCTAACTAAGATATCTGGAAAGATATTGGAACAAATTTAAACATCAGTTTGTGACCATTTAGAGGATAATAAGATTACAAGGAAAAGGCAACAAGGATTTGTCAAGAAGAAATCATGCCAGGTCATTTCCTTCTCTGAAAGGGTTACTAGCTTAGTGGATAGGGAGGAGACTGTAGACTTGATATATCTTGATTTTTAGTAAGGCTTTAGACAGAGTCCCACATTCTCATAAGCAAACTAGGAAAATGTGGTCCCTAGATGAAATTACTATAAAGTGGGTGCAAAACTGGTTGAAAGACAATACTCAACAAGTAGTTACCAATGGTTCACTGTCAAAATAGGAGGTCATATCTAGGGTGGTCTCACAGGGGTCAATCCTATTTTCGTTAGTGGCTCAGATACTTGAGTAGAGAGTATGCCGGGGTTGGCAACCTTTCAGAAGTGGTGTGCCAAGTCTTCATTTATTCACTCTCATTTAAGGTTTTGCGTGCCAGTAATACATTTTAGCATTTTTAGAAGGTCTCTTTCTATGAGTCTTTAATATATAACTAAACTATTGTTGTATGTAAAGTAAATAAGGTTTTTAAAATGTTTAAGAAACTTCATTTAAAATTAATTAAAATGCTGAGGGCCCGGGCAGCATGAGTGCCACTGAAAATCAGCTCGCATGCTGCCTTTGGCTAGCTGGTCCTTTCAATTTGGCAGAGACAAACAGTGGCAGTCCCGAAGTAGTCTTTTGGAAGCTGGCTGCTATTTTATCCTCCCTTCCTTTTCTATGTTTTGCCTTAGAATCATAGAATCACAGAATCATAGAATATCAGGGTTGGAAGGGACCCCTGAAGGTCATCTAGTCCAACCCCCTGCTCGAAGAAGGACCAATTCCCAGTTAAATCATCCCAGCCAGGGCTTTGTCAAGCCTGACCTTAAAAACCTCTAAGGAAGGAGATTCTACCACCTCCCTAGGTAACGCATTCCAGTGTTTCACCACCCTCTTAGTGAAAAAGTTTTTCCTAATATCCAATCTAAACCTCCCCCACTGCAACTTGAGACCATTACTCCTCGTTCTGTCATCTGCTACCATTGAGAACAGTCTAGAGCCATCCTCTTTGGAACCCCCTTTCAGGTAGTTGAAAGCAGCTATCAAATCCCCCCTCATTCTTCTCTTCTGCAGGCTAAACAATCCCAGCTCCCTCAGCCTCTCCTCATAACTCATGTGTTCTAGACCCCTAATCATTTTTGTTGCCCTTTGCTGGACTCTCTCCAATTTATCCACATCCTTCTTGTAGTGTGGGGCCCAAAACTGGACACAGTACTCCAGATGAGGCCTCACCAATGTCGAATAAAGGGGAACGATCACGTCCCTCGATCTGCTCGCTATGCCCCTACTTATACATCCCAAAATGCCATTGGCCTTCTTGGCAACAAGGGCACACTGCTGACTCATATCCAGCTTCTCGTCCACTGTCACCCCTAAGTCCTTTTCCGCAGAACTGCTGCCTAGCCATTCGGTCCCTAGTCTGTAGCGGTGCATTGGATTCTTCCATCCTAAGTGCAGGACCCTGCACTTATCCTTATTGAACCGCATCAGATTTCTTTTGGCCCAATCCTCCAATTTGTCTAGGTCCTTCTGTATCCTATCCCTCCCCTCCAGCGTATCTACCACTCCTCCCAGTTTAGTATCATCCGCAAATTTGCTGAGAGTGCAATCCACACCATCCTCCAGATCATTTATGAAGATATTGAACAAAACCGGCCCCAGGACCGACCCTTGGGGCACTCCACTTGATACCGGCTGCCAACTAGACATGGAACCATTGATCACTACCCGTTGAGCCCGACAATCTAGCCAGCTTTCTACCCACCTTATAGTGCATTCATCCAGCCCATACTTCCTTAACTTGCTGACAAGAATACTGTGGGAGACCGTGTCAAAAGCTTTGCTAAAGTCAAGATACAATACATCCACTGCTTTCCCTTCATCCACAAAACCAGTAATCTCATCATAAAAGGCAATTAGATTAGTCAGGCATGACCTTCCCTTGGTGAATCCATGCTGGCTGTTCCTGATCACTTTCCTCTCATGCAAGTGCTTCAGGATTGATTCTTTGAGGACCTGCTCCATGATTTTTCCAGGGGTGAGGGATTTTTCTGAGGTGAGGCTGACTGGCCTGTAGTTCCCAGGATCCTCCTTCTTCCCTTTTTTAAAGATTGGCACTACATTAGCCTTTTTCCAGTCATCCGGGACTTCCCCCGTTCGCCACGAGTTTTCAAAGATAATAGCCAATGGCTCTGCAATCACAGCCGCCAATTCCTTCAGCACTCTCGGATGCAACTCGTCCGGCCCCATGGACTTGTGCTTGTCCAGCTTTTCTAAATAGTCCCTAACCACCTCTATCTCCACAGAGGGCTGGCCATCTATTCCCCATGTTGTGATGCCCAGCACAGCAGTCTGGGAGCTGACCTTGTTCGTGAAGACAGAGGCAAAATAAGCATTGAGTACATTAGCTTTTTCCACATCCTCTGTCACTAGGTTGCCTCCCTCATTCAATAAGGGGCCCACACTTTCCTTGGCTTTCTTCTTGTTGCCAACATACCTGAAGAAACCCTTCTTGTTACTCTTGACATCTCTTGCTAGCTGCAGCTCCAGGTGCGATTTGGCCCTTCTGATTTCATTCCTACATGCCCGAGCAATATTTTTATACTCTTCCCTGGTCATATGTCCAACCTTCCACTTCTTGTAAGCTTCTTTTTTATGTTTAAGATCCGCTAGGATTTCACCGTTAAGCCAAGCTGGTCGCCTGCCATATTTACTATTCTTTCGACTCATCGGGATGGTTTGTCCCTGTAACCTCAACAGGGATTCCTTGAAATACAGCCAGCTCTCCTGGACTCCTTTCCCCTTCAAGTTAGTCCCCCAGGGGATCCTGGCCATCCGTTCCCTGAGGGAGTCGAAGTCTGCTTTCCTGAAGTCCAGGGTCCGTATCCTGCTGCTTACCTTTCTTCCCTGCGTCAGGATCCTGAACTCAACCAACTCATGGTCACTGCCTCCCAGATTCCCATCCACTTTTGCTTCCCCCACTAATTCTACCCGGTTTGTGAGCAGCAGGTCAAGAAAAGCGCCCCCCCTAGTTGGCTCCTCTAGCACTTGCGCCAGGAAATTGTCCCCTACGCTTTCCAAAAACTTCCTTTCTCTCATCATTGAGGAGATGCCACAGTCTCACACTTACCTGTTGTTGTGACTCCAGGGATGGTATGTGCAGCTAGAAACAGTTCATCGATGGGATCCACTAGATGCTTAATATTGACTTTCCTTGCATTGTAATAATTGCCATCAGCAGCCATCCCTGCACGTTCTATTGCTATCAGATGATCAAATCTAGTCAGAGACAAGGTGATAAATTAGTTAATGGGGGGAATTGCAAAACTTAGATCTTACATTTCTCTGTCAGTTGCTTTTAGAATAGAATATTGGGGTTGGAAGGGACCTTAGGAGATATCTAGTCCAACCCCCTGCTCAAAGCAGGACCAATCCCCAATTTTTGACCCAGATCCCTAAATGGCCTCCTCAAGGATTGAACTTACAACCGTGGGTTTAGCAGGCAATGCTCAAACCACTGAGCTGTCCCTTCCCCGTGTAAAATGTTGCACGGTGGCCCGTACGGGGATCAAACCTGCGACCTTGGCGTTATTAGCACCATGCTCTAACCAACTGAGATAACCAGCCACATGCTTCACTTCTGTCTCCTTAGGTGCAAGTTACACTCATTTTGCAAAGCCTCTGAACGCCAGATTGGACCACTTGCTGTACATCTATTTTCCCACCAACTTATACCCAACATGTAATTTATAGCACCGTTTACCTCACTCTTGAGTTTGGGCCTATACATTTTGTTTTCAATATTTGGTTTGTTTTCTTGGTAGCTTTAATGCAGCCCCTTCAAACTGCCAGCAATGAATGGAGAGAGAGTTGAAATCCTTCTCCACCCAGTGGGGGACTGGGTGAACCACTTTAGAGCCTAGATCCTCAGAGATATTTAGGTACCTAACTCCTATTTATATCCATGGGAGTTAGGACCTAAATACCTTTATGGATCTGGGCTTTAGCCTCTCTGTGCCTCAGTTAAAAAGTAGGTAGCACCTCACATAGGGATATTGGCAAGTCCAGTTTATTATTCATAATTTCCTATTTAAAGTACTATATTGCTTGTAAGTTACCCATTTATTTGGTTTCTTTTGTTTAAGATTTTTGACAAATTTGGTGCTTGTAAATGTGGATGGGAAGCATGCAGGTAGGCTCTGTTTTAGGCAGTCTCTGTTTAGGATTTTCGCCCCAGAGCTCAGCCAATATACCTCAAGCCTAATGTGCAACACCCTACTACTCCAGTTCTACTGAATAGAGGCTACCAATTGTCCCAAGTTACTAAGTGGTTTTATGATATGGACTAATACACACTGTGATCGTATTTCTCCTTGTGCAATTGAGTTTCCAACATGAAAAAATATTCAGTTTAGCCTCCTAGGATTATGTGATCTATTGAGGTACAAATCGGCTGTAGCTGATTTATGTTCAATTATAAAAGCATCCTCTTGAGCCTAGTGTATGAGAAATGAAAAACAGGGTGTTATTGAAATTACATTTTTTATTAACCCATAGAAAGAAAGGGAAATTGAATGAACTGAAGATGCATATATTTAAATGATAAGCCCTTATTAAAGAGAATTGGCTGCTAACTTTATTATACACCTCTACACAGAGAAACTTCAAGATCACCTCCCCCCCCCAAGTAAGTCCATTAAAAGGAAGGGTAAGTTGCTGGCCACATATTCAATGTATGGACATTTTAGTGCAAACTCCAATGCATGTATATAAACCCTAAATATATGCATGTTCAAATCGGGGTTTTTGTGCACATCAGAGTTTGCACTTATATAGTTTGAATGAGTTTTCAGAAATACATGCACTTTTCAAAAATTTTGGCTGGGGTGTCTAAAGACAATGAGGATCTTTTTCAGACTATTAAAAACAGATAGGAGGATCTTCCATACTGGAATAAAATGGATCATCAAAGATTTGAACATGGATGAAAGTGGACTACAGTCCCGGACTCCAGGATTCTATTCCTGACTCTGCCACTGGACTTTGTATAGTCTTTGGAAAGACCTTTAATCTCTCTGTGGCCTACTTTTCCCATTGATAAGATGGGTATAATGATGTACAGCATTTCACAGGTGTAAAGTAAGTTAATGAATGTTTGTAGAGCTCTTTAAGATTTTCATCTGAAAGGTGCCATATAAGTGCAAAGTAATGTACTTCCTTCCCCATTTCCTGTTGTGCATTGGGATTGCAGAGGTCTCAGAATAATGTGGGATCCTGTATTTCACATGCACTGCAATACTACAGCAGAGTGGAGTGTTTGACTCAGAATTTTCTTCCTTTAATTTCAGACCTTCAACTGCTATTGTAATATTTACTTAATATATATTTTATAAAAACAGTCATTTAAAAAGAGGAACAAAACAATTTGATTGGCAGATACTTCATACTTCAAAGCTTTGCTTGCAATCATTATATCTTCTGTGAACAGAGCCGTTCCTTTCACTATGACTTTGCATAGCCTCCTTGCTACTCATTTTCAGGAACTTAGTGCACATACCTGGGTCTTTCAAGATTCCCATTCTCACACAAAAACAGCAAAGCGGACTCTGCAGCATCTCCCTGATAACTCAATAGAGGCACTGGTGTCTTCAGTACCCCTAGAGCAAACAAAAATACAAAATGGATTCCATAGGTCATTTTTTGTGTGCTTAGCTTGGATTTTAAAAGAACAGAACAGTTAGAACTGTAAGGTGATTCTTGCAAACATATGATTGTATAACACAATATTTCCCAGCTGGAAATACTGCACTAGTTGCCCATCCTTAGCTTTTGCACAATCAGAGCTACAAGCCAGAGTCCAGAGACATTATCTGGACTGACAAAAGTGAGATGATGTGCAGGGATGAAGACACTTTAAAAATAAGCTCTCTTCTCACCTCCTTCTTTTTGATGATACACTAAATTTCAAAATGCAGTGGTAATAGGAAGAAAGATTCTAGATGGATTTCAAAAGATTATGAACTAGATGCTCAATTGGTATAAATCAGTATAGTTCCAGTGAAGTCAATGGAGCTATGCTGATTTAGCCAGGTGAGGATCTGGCCCTTTTTGTCTATATGTTAGAGCACTTCTTGAAGGCCTGATCTAATTTAGAGATTGCACTGAAATAGATCTTGAACCAGATTAGCAAATTAAAACTGAAAAGCTAACAGTCTTTGTTGCCTAACTGCATGTTTTACCTTGCTGAACAGCATCTTCAATAATCTTTTTATTCAAACTCATGGCTCTCTGGTCTGTTACTATAACAACATGTTTCTCCAAGCTCTGCAACATGGCTGCCATAGCAATGGCTCCTGGAGGTCCATCATTCTCTTCAGGTGGCTCATGGTTGAAGTGAGTAGGAAATCCAGTGGTTATCAGCACTGATCGGGCATGTGAAAGGGAGAGGCAAGTCTTTAGCAGCTCATCCTGGCAGCACAAATGTTTCACTCCCCGGTCTCCTAAAAATCAAAACCAATTTTCTTTTTTAAAGACGGTGCTAGATTTTTAGCCTATTAATACCTCCAAGAGGTTCTGTCAGGACGAATCCCTGTCCATCACTGTCAAAGTGCCTGGCAGGGACGAGAAGAGCAGCCAACAACCCTTTGCCAGGCTCTATCCCTATTGATCCAGAGATAGTGACAGATCAGGGGAATGGAGACCATCAGCAAAGCACATCATCTCCCACTAGGTAAGTGCAGCGAGTCTCCTGAATGAATTTATAGAAGGTTGTGAAGACTGTTGTCCATTCTGCAGCGCTACTGGGATCACTACTGATGTGTGTGCTTGTGAAGGATGTCATAAAGTGGTCATTGTTGGGTAAATGAGTTACCCAAAATATTAGGGAATGGAGCCGTGCTCTACCTCTGCCTACATCATGTTTGTCACTGGGAGTTTCATATCCCCACAAACTAAATTTGTTTGAGATGCATTTGAATAAAGCAGCAGGTTTCTAGCCTGTAGTCCTGGGAGTAGAGTGTTATTTTTGTTGTACCTAGTGGTCCCTTTACAAAAAAGGAGAGGTTGGGAAGCCTCCCTCAGCCCGGACTAAGCTGAACTGCAGATTTGATTCAGATTTCTGAAACCCCAAATGGATGAGGGCTTCATTTCAATTTTTTATAGAGAAGAAGCCAATGGGTATTGGTTCCGCTCATTATAAATACTGAGTGAGTGGATAAATTCAGAAGCAGATCCACGTTCATATTCAAAATCAGTGCTAAATTCAGAAGAGTTGGGGGCAGGAGTTTTGGTAAGTGATGTGAAATGAGAAAATAATATGAGATGTGGGAAGGGAATGCAGAAGATAAACCTAGAAAATATGACAAAAGAGACTCTGGGGCAGAAGGGATTTTGTTCATTGATCCTCCCATTCAGGAGCCACTTTTCCCTTTTAAATAATTCAGGTGTCTTGGCCCAAAGTTGTTCTGTAAAGAACAAAATCAGGTTGAGTAGATCCAGACCCCAGTCATTTTACACAAACAAGCTCAAGCACAATCCATGTCCAAATGCATAGATATACATTTAAACTCAGGCTCATGCATGCGCTCACAAGTACACACAGAAAAATTGCAGCAGGACAAGGCAGGGCAATCGATTTGTAAGTGGGCATTTCACACTGTGGCTAGGGGCTGTCTCCTAAATGGGAAAGGGACAATGTCATTTGAACTTGTCCAAACCTGTTTGCTCTAACCTGTTTCTTCATCATAGATTTATTGAATAATGGCCAAATCAGTAATTCTTTCTGAACTGGTTGAGGTATTGAGGGATGGGGCTTGAGGGAGAGTGTGCAATTAACAGGCTCTGAGTCCAGTGTAAGAAACTCAATCCCCTGGAAGAAAATGGAATACCAGGCCTAGCACAACAGGGACCAACCTGACTATGGCCTTTAGGCCATACTGCACGATGAATGTTAAATAATAACAGTCAGATTGAGCCCCATAGCTTGGAGCTATCTGGGAAGAGGGAGTGGGACTGGAACTATGAGTGTGTGGTCAGTGAAAATGCAGTGATTTCTTTGGTCAGATTTGCCACTGGGCCAAATGGGGCCAGCGCCCCGGAAAAATGTGTGCCCCCACATCCCAACCCATTCCACCCACCCGGAGCTCCTGCCTGGGAGTGGTGTTGAGGCACAGAGGCTTGCCCTGCTCCACCTGCTGCTCCTGCCAAGGAGTGGGGCAAGCCCCCTTGCCCCGACCCTGCTCCCTGGCAGGAACACGGGGCCGGCAGGGGAAGCCCCTGTACCCCAACCCCACTGCCCTGTAGGAGTGCCGACTGGGACAAGCTGGAGTGGGACAAGCTCCTGCACCCCAACCCAGCTCCCCGGCAGGAGTGCCGGGTGGGGGAGCGAGGCGGGACAAGCCCCCGCGCCCCAACCCCATTTCCCTGCCAGGAGTGTGTGTGTGTGTGTGTGGGGGGGGGATTGTAGGCAGAAGGAGTGGGGAGGGGCCCCAACTTGTTCCAGCCCAGGGCCCCACAATAGCTTAATCTGCCTCTGACTGGATATCAGAATGCTGATGACCTCATCTATCCAGTAGGTTGTGTCAGGACCAATCCCTGTTCTGCACTGTCAGTCTGGTTGAAGGAGAGGAGCAGCCAATAACCTTTTCTGCAGCCCTAGCACTACTGATACAGAGACAGTGAAAGAGAAGAGGAATGCAGATGGTCAGAAAAGCACATCACCTCCCATTAGGTAAGTGCAGTGGCATGGACTTGGGGGTTTATGGAGACAATTGTCCAATCTGCAACTCAGAGGGGGAGAGGAAAGAAGAGGTTGGAAGGAGTCCCTGATCCACCATAAGGGGTGAGTCATTGTTGGTGACGGGGCTAAGGTGCAATATTCAGATGTGGATTCAGATTTCTTTCACCCCAAAGGATAGAAGGGCTGGCTCAAGTACAGTGAGTCCTCACTTAAAGTCATCCCAGTTAACGTTGTTATGTTGCTGATCAATTAGCGAACATGCTTGTTTAAAGCTGTGCAATGCTCCCTTATAACGTTGTTTGCAGCTGCCTGCTGTGTCCCCTTCTTACAGGAAGAGCAGCCCGCTGCAGCTAGCTGATAGGGGCTTGGAACCAGGGTCGACCCCCTATCAGCTCCCCGTTCCCCTAAGTTTCCTGTGTGGCAGCCACCCAGCAGGCTATCAATTGCTGGCAGTTCAGCTGTCCCTTCCCACACTGCCATGTGCTGCTCCTGCCCTCTGCCTTGGAGCTGCTCTCCAGAGTCTCCTGCTTGCTGTGCAGGAGGGGGAGGGGGGAGAAGAGGAGGGCTCATGTCAGGGCGTCACCCTGCTCCTGCACCCCGCTTATCCCATCTTCCATAGAGCAGGAGACACACACACGACAGGGCTCAGGACGGAGGGAGCTTCCTGGCAGCAGCTGCCATCTCAGCTTGCTGGTTAATTTAAAAAGGCAGTGTACTTAAGAGTGGGGTCAGGTACTTAAAGGAGCAATGTGCATCTCTCTCTCACACACAGGGTGTGTGTCTCTGACTGCCATGCTGTCTCCCCTCCCTCCATTCATGCTGCCTTGTAGAGTGTGAAGCTACATTAACAACGAGTTAACCCTTGATGGCTCAGACAATTGCTAGTTCCTCATTTAGCAGTAAGGCATTCCCTGGGAAATATCCCAACCTCTTCCATCCTCGGACTTCACCACTTCAAACATTTCCCTGGAACTTAACCCCCCCCTATTTACATTAATTCTTATGGGGAAATTGGATTCGCTTAACATTGTTTTACTTAAAGTCACATTTTTCAGGAACAGAACTACAACGTTAAGCGAGGAGTTACTGTAGTTTTGTTCAGCTCTTTATAAAGAGGGAGCTGTTGGGGAAGTTTGGATTCAAAATGTCTGCTCAATTCAGTAGTGTTGTGGGCTAGGAGTTTTGATGAGAGACGGGTCTATGATAAGTAAAGGTAAGGAAGCTGGGAAGAAAATGAAAGATGTGGGCAGGGACTGAGGAAGATAAACCTAGAAAATGAGACAAAGCAAAGACCCAGATGTGGAGGTGACAACGTTCCATTGACCCTCCCAGTTCTTGGGAACCATTTTTCCTTTTTCAATAACTCATATTGGCCCACAGTAATTCTGCAATGAATACAGTCCTGGGTAGGTGGGTGTTTCTGGTGCCATGGCCTGTTACTTCATCAAACTTGCCCTACCAGGAAGCAGACACACTGAGTGTAAATAGAATGATAAGGACTTTGTTCTGATGAGAGTTGTTGGCCTGATAAAAATCACACTATTGGCTTGAGGAGAGAAATCAGCTCAAATGCAGCAATGTCTGTAAACAGGAGCAATTTTAAGAGGGTGTCACGAGGGGGATGGCACCACATTTCCATTGATGTCTCTCCTGTCGCTGTCACTGGGAGGCACAGTGATAAAAGGGGAGCACAGTCAATACCTGGGGGATGTTAGCATTCTTGTTATAATCATGTAATTTGTTTCTATAGGTCTAACAGTGCACAAGCATCCTCAGTCCATACATGCAGCGAGGGTGGCGAGAGAGGGACCAACTGGAGCCCATCAGCTAAGCCCAACATACCACACAGGGATAATGCAATGAGTGTGTTTTGTTCTCACACGAGAGAAAATCAGATGGAATTTTCCTGTTTGTATATCTTGCTTATTTAATCTGTATGGGGCAGGGATGTATCGGATATGTGTTGTTGAGCACAGAGCACATTCGGGGCATTATCCCCATGATTTACACTAACCGCACCCTAGACCTGCATTTTTGGCTTCCATGCTAGGGAAAGAACACAAACTCATCCCCTGTACTTGCCATATTCCCTCCCTTCTAGGCTACCAGGAGGAAATGGAGGTTACTTGCTGTTACTGGAAGTTATTCAAGATGTGTGGTCCCTATCTGTATTCCACGTGCTCAGGGTCAAACTGATTGCCAGATTTGGAGAAGAAGAAGGCAACTAAAATTGTTGCAGGCTGTGCAAATTGCAGACTGTTGTTTCGGAGACTCAAAGGAAGTTTTAAGGAGACTGTGGGACTATCACTTGTTTCCCAGACTTCAAGGAGCTTGCTTGCATGCTCTACAGAGGGTTTGGACACCATTCTACAGAGACTGAGAGGGGTAAAATCTCCCAGAAAAGAACCCCAGAAGAGTGTATGTATGTATGTATGTGTACATAATTATATTTTGCACTGAGACTTGCAAAAGTAATCAGTACTAAAACTTGGGGAAAAACCCGTAAAAGAGTTGTTGACATTGTTCACAGTTACTTCAAGGGTTATAGGTAAACTGTTATGCATTCATAGATAGATATTTAGGTCATACATTTTCCTTTAGAGTTTGTGTCATTCTCCTTCTATCAGAAATTAAATTCTGTATAAGCCCTGAAAAAACTAAACTCTGGTCTGTGCTACAGCAGAAAGGTAAGCTGAAGTACTGAACAGGAAAGATATACAATACCTGATCTTAGTATGTTGCCTTCCCCAAACTTGCTGTACATGCACATTTAAGCAAAGCAAGATATTATTCAATTCAGAAGAAGTCAGTGTTTAAAAGTACATAGACAAATAAAATCCCCAGCACACTTTATATATGAAGGAGTGAAATGGTACTGAAAAGCTGTTAAAGGATGCAGTAGCCCTTGTCACCATCATCTCACATAGGGAATTATTCCAGGGCTGATGCCAGTATGTTTAGCAGCTCTGAAGTTCATGTACTAGCAATTCCTACTAGTATTCATTTATATATAGGGCCCTACCAAATTCACAGCCACGAAAAATGCATCATGGACCATGAAATCTGGTCTCCTTCATGAAATCTGGCCATTGTAGGGGGGGTTGCAGTATTGCCATCCTTACTTCTGCAGTACTGCTGACGGCCGCGCTGCCTTCAGAACTGGGCAGCTGGAGAGCAGCGGCTGTTGGCTAGGAGCCCAACTCTGAAGGCAGCACTACTGCCAGCAGCAGCACAAAAAGCAAGGGTGGCATGATATAGTATTGCCACCCTTACTTCTGTACTGCTGCCTTGAGAGCTGGATGCTGGAGAGTGGCAGCTGCTGGCTGGGCACCCAGCTGTGAAGGCAGCATTGCTGTCAGCAGCAGCGCAGAAGTAAGGGTGCCAATACTGTGACCACCCTTCAAAAACTTGCTACCCCCCACCCACACACAACCCCCTTTTGAATTGGGACTCCCATGGTTACAACACCATGACATTTCAGATTTAAATATTTGAAACCATGAAATTTCATTAAATCCTATGACCATGACATTTACCAAAAGGGACTATGAATTTGGTATGGCCCAGTGCTAAATTTGTGCCAGGGCTTGCCAGGACTGAGCCCGGTAAACCTTGCCAAGTCCGTTATGAAAGTAAATAATTGCTTGAGCCCCGGCACCTAATTGCTTGAGCCCCATCTCCTCTTTCATTACAAATTAAGCACTGGTAGGGCCCTATTTATATACAGTAACCAGATTTCTTCCTGTGGAGAGCCACAAGCTAGTTCTCACATCACCTTGCAGCAGCCAGGTGCAATCGGCCTACTGTTTTCAGTGATGGTCAGCAGTACAAGATAGCATGAAAATGAGTGTAAGGCAACCCCTCAGCTGGACCAGGGCTGCTCACTCAGCTATGACTCACCCCTCCAGCAGAGCCTGCCCTGACTCATCTCTCAGGCATGATGCAACAGCCTATCCAGGGCAGGGGCAGATGACTCCCAGGCATAGGTATTTCACACTCCCCACCAGAGCCACAACTTGGTCTGTGCAACAGCACCATTTGGCTAGGAATCTTCCTGCTGCTTCATGGTGTTACAGATTCCTTATGCTTCCAGCCTTCCCTTGATACTATCCCTGTTCCTGCCCCAGCCTTGTTCTAGCCTGCTCCAGCCCCGGTCCTGACCTGCTCCAGCCCTGCACCCAGCTCCTGACTCCCAGACCCTTGGACTGGCTCCAGCCCAGCTTCGACTTCATCTTGCTTCCAAATTCTGACTACGATCCTGAGTTGACATATCTATGGACTCTGACCCCAGTTCTTACTCATGGTTTGTTCCTGGACCCCAGTTTCAGTGCTGCCCTCGGCCTGGTCCCAACTCTACCTCCAGCTTTAACCCTTGATATCTGTTCTCGGACACTGCTTTAACCACCAGGCCTGACTGTCTAGAACTCAGAGTCTGAAAATGAGACCAGGAATGGGAACTGAATTGATGCCTCCCTTTATCCGGTGCAAACCAGTACCTTAGGCTGGCCCAAAGTAGTCCATTTGGTAAGGTGGAAGGGAACAATTAACAATGTTCAATCAGAATAATCTAACATTGGAATTCTTTGTAACATTTGGAATTACCTTTAAATGTTTACTATTTAACGTCAACGGTGCAATATCTAAATGAATGGAATGGATCATACTAATTTATTAAGACAAATCCTATGTTTCCAGAATTATTAATTCTTCAGTAACTCAAGAAAAAAAATTTTTTTTTACCTGGATCTACTCCAATTAGGCTTTCTAGTTCTCTTATCTTTTGTACAGCTGTTTCTGATGCAATGCTATAATGCAAAGGATTTTGAGAAATGCAGTGGACCTTCGGGATTTCTTTAGAGTTATGAACTGCAGCATCCTCATTCTTCAGGTCAGTAACAAACATGCAGCCAGGAGAATGTGTAAAAGCCAGGGGAGACTCTACAATAGATGGAAAAACTTCAACTCAATATGCTATACCAATAACAAATAAATATTACTGATAAAGCACCAGAACGATAAGAATAATAGAAAAGCTGCATCCTAAAACATATACATGGTCCCTACCCCAAAGAGCCTACAATCTACGACAAGTGACATGTGAAGGGAGCTAATCAAATATATACATATGTAACATTGTACGTTTGTGTGTGTGTGTATGTGTGTGTACACACGCACACACACGCGCACGTGTCTGGAGGAAAGAAAGGTAGGCTTATGGATCAGCTGAATGCATTTTCACTTAAGAAAAAAACTATAAGAAAACGTATTTAGATGATCAGGCTTTTATTTTCAGAAGTGTCCCCACTTTTGTTACCCAACTTGAGCGATCTAGAACCTGATTTTGGAGGCACTGAGAACTTGCAGCTCCCAATGGAGTTAATCTGAAAATCAGGTCTTAGATGTCTCAAGTGGGGCACCCTAAATCGTGATAGTTTTGACAATTTAGGTACAAGTGACTTGTCTACAGTCATACAATGAGTCAGTGGTACAGCTGGGATTAAAATATAATCAGTCACGCAGTTCTGTAGAACAAACACTAAACAACATTGCCTTTCTTTAGTATATGTGAATTTGCTATATAGTAAATGTGGGTGAGAGGCAGCCTACCTTCTGTAAGCACTGCTCTAGTCCATGTTACTAAACTCACTTTGCAGAAGCATTAAAAAAATAATGTGTAGTCATTTAGACACAATGTAAAACACTGTCACTTAGAAAAGGAGTACTTGTGGCACCTTAGAGACTAACCAATTTATTTGAGCATGAGCTTTCGTGAGCTACAGCTGTATGAAGTGAGCTGTAGCTCACGAAAGCTCATGCTCAAATAAATTGGTTAGTCTCTAAGGTGCCACAAGTACTCCTTTTCTTTTTGCGAATACAGACTAACACGGCTGTTCCTCTGAAAACTGTCACTTAGGTTTGCAATCATTTCACATCCACTGTGCCCTCACTTTGCATTAAATATAAATGTCTGCATAAGGTGCAGTGCAGAGCTGTGTGGAGAATGGAAATGCTGTTTCACAAAGAATCCTGAAGTTTGTTTTTGTTGTGATTTGGAACAAACTGCCAAATTTTTGAAATTCTCTGTGAAAGAAAATTCAGGAAAATTTTTTTTTTGGATCTGTCAAAATGGATTTTTTTTGAGAAAATCAGAATGTTTTGTTTCAGTTGATTTTATTTTATATTGTAAAATAAGTAGGCTTGGCAAAATTAGATTTTTAAAATAATTTTGACAGGTAATACTGATGTTTATTTTTAAGCATTTTGTTGTTATTATTGAGTTAAATTTTCACAGTAGTGTAAAATTATGGTTTTAAAGTACAGTAAAAGCTGTGTTATCCAGCCCTGTACCAACCAGAAAGCTCTATACACTGCCATTTCTAATCTTATTAGAAAGTCTGCTTTATAGTCCCGGTTGGTGTGAGGCTGGCAGGCTCCCTATGTGGCTCCCCAGAAGCGGCAACATGTTCCTGTTGCTCCTAGGCGGAGGAATGGCCACGAGGGGTTCAGAGTGCGGGGTGTGTGTGTGTGTGCAGGGCTCGGGGGGGGATGCGAGGCACAGGCTCTTGGAGGGAGTTTGGGGGTGTGGGGTTGGGGCGAGGACTCGGAGGGAGTTTGGATGTGGGAGGGGATGTGGGGTGCTGGATCCGGGGGGGCGCTCACTGTGGGTGGCTCCTCGCAAGCAGCGACCAGTCCCTGCTGCCCTTAGAAGCTAAACGGTTCTACGCATGCTGCCCCCGCCCCAGCACAGGCTCCACAGCTCCCATTGGCCGGGAACTGCGGCCAATGGAAGCTGCCGGGGTAGTGTGTGTGGATGGGGGCAGTGTGTGCAGAGCCGCTCAGCTGCACCTCAGCCTAGGGGCTGCAAGGACTGGTCGCTGCTTGCAGATTCGGTGCTTCCAGATTTGGCACCCTGCACTTCCCCGTGCACCCCAACCCCCTGCCCCACACTCCTTCCCAGAGCCTGCGCCCTGAGTGCCCCCACTCCCACCCTCTTAGTTAACCAGAATTTTTCACTTACCAGCTGTCATAAACATACAGCTAAGGGTAGCATAAAATCCCTCCTTTACCTGTAAAGAGTTAAGAAGCTCAGATAACTTGGTTGGCACGTGACCAAAAGGACCAATAAGAGGAGAAGATACTTTCAAATCGGTGGGGGAAAGTTTTTGTTTTGTGTTTCTTTGTGTTCTCTCCAGGACAGCGAGGAACCAGGGCAAGAAAAATACATCTCCTAAAGCCATACCTGAACTAAGCATCTAAGATTACAAATTGTAAGTAATAGGAAGGAAATGCATTAGATTATCTTTTGTTTTAGCTTGTGAATTTTCCCTAGGCTAAGAGGGAGCGGTATTCCTGTTTTTTTTTTTTGTAACTTTAAAGTTTTGCTGAGCGGGGAATCCTCTGTTTTTTTAATCTGATTACCCTGGAAAATTACCTTCCATCCTGATTTTACAGAGGTGCTTCTTTTACTTTTTCTTTATTATAAAGCTCTGCTTTTAAGAACCTGATTGGTTTTTAGTGTCCTAAAAACCCAAAGGGCTGGTCTGTGCTCACCTTGTTTACTCTCAAGCCTCCCCAGGAAAGGGGGTGAAGAGGTTTGGGGGATATTTTGGGGAAACAGGAACTCCAAGTGGTCCTTTTCCTAAACCTTTGTCTAACTGAGTCAGTGGTGGCAGCGATACCGTTCCAAGGACAAGGAAGAATTTGTGCCTTGGGGAAGTTTTTAACCTAAGCTGGTACAGATAAGCTTAAGTAAAGGAGGGATTTTATAGTACCCTTAGCTGCATGTTTATGACACCAGCAACCCCCATTCTCCCAACATGCCAGATAAAAAAAAAAGCTTTTACTGTATTCTCCCCATATTTTTTTATTCAATTTTAATTTTTACAGTTGCAGGAAATTATGCGGGAGGGTCAGGCAATAATTATTTAAGACAGTATATGTTGAGGTTCACAAAAGTTAAAGTTTTATAACTATCAAAACAAAAATTGCCAGCATCACATGTCAAAATGTACAAAATAAATATCCTTAAAATCAAACTAAAGTTCTCAAGCAGCATTTTTCTTACTCTGTCTATCTGTAAAGTTAAATTATTATTGATGGAAAGATTTTTTTCATCATTTTGTGTGTGTATGGTGAAATCTATGTTTACTGACAGCAATTAAAATCTAATCCTTCCAAGTGTATATATACACAATATAATACAAAATTTGAAAAAAAATGTGAAAGAAAAGCAATTTCTAAATGAAAAATCAAAATGTTTCTTTCCCAAAATGCTGAACTGGAACCTTTCCACATTACCATAACTCTTTTTCTCTAGGTTTTCCTCCTAAACAAAATTTTGGTGAAAACAACATGATTTTGCATTTCATTTTGATTCTGCTGGAAGAAGAGGTTATTCATCATCTTGTACAGTAACTGGAATTCAAGTTGTTTTGTCCCTATGGGTGTTCCATTTGAGGATATGCATGCACTTGTGCACTCTCAATCAGAGATTTTTCTGCTAATATATCCCACAGGTCCGCACCTGTATTGTATGCTGCCTTATGCTCCAGTAAGAGGGCATATGGAGAAAAGCAGACCCATACCTCTCCAGTTACTTCTCAACCTCAGAGCATAGTAAAAGTCTGAAGCAAAAGGGAAAGGAAGGTGGGTAGTGGAGCACCCATACAGACAAAACATCTCAAAGAATTCCAGTTACTATACAAGGTAAGTAACCTCTCCTTTTTCAAGTGTTGTCCATTTGGGTTTCTCATGAGGAGACTACCAAGCAGTACCTTAATGTGGAAGAGGATGCTGAGGAGGTAGATCCACTACAGCGTGCAGAACAGCTTCACCAAATGTGATGTCCACTTTGGTGGCACGGAGTAAGGGATAATGCTGTGAAAAATATGTGAATGGAGGACCAGGTGGCTGCCTTGCAAATGTCTTGAGGCCACTGGAAGTAGATTGAGCCTGCATGAAGTGTGTAGTGATTCTAGGAGGGTGGGTACAATCTACAAGTCTCATAGCATGCCAAAATACATCCTGATACCTACTTACACAGTCGCTTGAGAGGAGATTGAATGACCCCTCATCCTCTCTGCAAAGCAAACTTTGTAAAGACTGTAGGAGCTGTTGATAAGCCCAATGGCAGGACACAGTACTGGTAATGATTGGTGCCCCCCATGAACCTGAAGAAACAACTGTGAACAGGGTCTATGGCTACTTGAAAGTAGGGATCCCGGATATTGAGGGTGACAAACTAGTCCCTGGGATCTAACGATGGAATGGTCATTGCTAGGATGAACATCCTGAAGTGCTGTGTATGAATAAAAACTTTTTAGAGAGCAAAGGTTTAGAATCGATCTCCACCCTCCTTTTTTTCTTTAGGACCAGGAAGTACCTGGACCACAAACCCTTTCTGAAGAAGCCTGGAGGAATGATTTTGATCGTCCTCCGTTGCAGGAGGGATTCTACCTCCTACTTTAGGAGCCTCCTGTGAGAAGGATTCCTGAACAGGGATGGGGGGGGGGAGCAGAATTGGATGGAGTAGCCCAACAGTTTTCAAACTCTGGGTTGGGACCCCATAATGGGTCACGACCACATTTTAATGGGATCACCAGGGCTGGCTTAAACTTGCTGGGGTCTGGAGCCAAAGCCCGAGTCCCACTGCCCAGGGCTGAAGCCTAATGGCTTTAGCCCTGGGCAGCGGGGCTCAGGTTACAGTCCCCCTGACTGGGGTTGAAGCCCTTGGGTTTCAGCTTCCGTCCCCACACCCGGGGCAGGAGGGCTTGGGCGAGTTCAGTCCCCACTCCTGGTGTAGTGTAGTAATTTTTGTTGTCAGAAGGGGGTCGTGGTGCAATGAAGTTTGAGAAACCCTGGAGTAGCCGGTCAAGATTATTTCCGGTACCAATTTGTCTGAGGTGATATGCTCCTAAAAATGGAGGAAGTGGGCAAGGCGGTCTCCATAGGTTGAAAGAATGGATGAATGCTATAACTAAAGATCCACTGGGGAGAAATCTCGACCAAAGTATCAAAATGGTCATTTGGATGAGGTAGCCATCTGAGAGGTGACAATGGAGGATAGGACTTTCTTGTGCCTAAACCTTTTTTTGGGTGGCTCAATAATTCTTTGAGATGCGTTATAGTACACCGGATGGGAGCATTGTGCTGTCTGAAATTTGCTATATTTTCACTTTGTAGATGGAGTGTAGATACCAAGAAAGTGCAACGTCACCCTAGAGTCTTTGAGTGAATGAAGAGATCTGTTTGTATGTCACTAAAGAGCTTAGGCCCTTTATAAAAGGCAAGCCCATAATATTTTGTACTTCCTTGAGCAAGCCAGAGGACTGTACCCAGGAGGCCTGGCACATGACTAGGGCACAGGGCATAGAATGAGAGGCCATATCCACTGTGTTAAGGGCGGCCTGCAGGAAGGCTATGGCTACTGTATGACCATCTGTAATAAGAGCTAGAAACTGCTCTCTCTTGTTCTGAGGCAAAGACTCAATAAAGTGAGAACATTTACTATAATAGGTAAAGTCATATTTTGCCATCAAAGCTTGGCAGTTGGCAACTCGGAATTGGAGACACTGATAAGTAGCTCTTACACCTTAGAAGGTCAGATGGTTAAGTTCTTTGTCAGATATTGCTGACTTCTTTTGTTCGCGACATTGACGACTAGGGAATTAGGAGTGGGATGAGAAAACAAGTACTCTGAGCCCTTGGCTGGGCCCTAGTACTTTTTATTGACCCTGTACAGGTGAGTGAGATGATGGCCAGAGTCTGCCACACTGTGTGGGCTGGTGAGAGAACAGCCTCATTAATAAGTAAGGCTACCTTGCCCTGGGTGAAGGTGTGCACCAAGGATTGCTTTTGTTCCTGGATTTCCTCCATGGGAATTTGTATAGCCTCTATTATGCATTTCATCAAGTTCTGAAAGTTGTCCATGTAGAATGGCAGAGAAAGCATAGTTGCCTCTTCTGGGGCATACTTCATCTGAACTCTTGCTCCTCTGGTGGCCCCTCTTGAGTAGTGTGAGGAGGCTCCTGAGCTACTGGTGGATGGGAATCCTGCTGGGACCTCTTGTGTAAGGATACCCTGTAGACTTGGTGAGAGAGGTACCTAGAAGCTACCCATGAGCCCAGGGACTATTCCCCCAGATGAAATGTGTCCAGCAGTACAGGAGGCGGTACAAGAGAAGACCACAGTCATTTTGGAGAGATCTAGCTGTTGATGGACGGTACCTGGTAAGATAATTTCTTTTAAGAGTCCTTCCATCTGGAAGAGTCTGATCTTGGTACCAGTGAGTCAATAGCTCAGGGCTGCTTAACTGTAGGCTTCTTGGTACTCAGATTTTCAGTATGCAGTATCTTGGCACGTGGCTTTGAAGAAAGTGTTCTTCAGCAATGCTGGTGCCTTGATACCATGACTAGTGGGAGCCTTGGCAGTATGTGCAGCTGGATGTGAGGTTTTCCTGCTCCCAGATCTAAGTGGAGACTTCTCTTTCCTAGATACTCTATCAGGGGAGTGGGGTCTCTTATGTTTGGTAGCTCTCTGTGCACCTGAAGTCATCTCCTGATTTCTGGAGGTTGTAGCCAATGAAGTCTCTGGAGCACTCTGCACAGCTGAGTCTAATGGTGTGTGTGTGTGTGTGCGTGTGTGTGTATTGGAGCACTCTGCACTGCTGAGTCTAATGTTGTGTGTGTGTACGCGCGTGTGTATTGGAGCACTCTGCACTGCTGAGACTAATGTTGTGTGTGTGTGTCTGCGCGCGCGTGCGTGTGTGTGAAATCTGATCCTGTGGGTCTACGGGAGCACTTCATGGAGAGCAGTTTCAGATAGTCTTTCCTTAGTTTTTGACATCTGCTCTTGAAGCCTGGATGGGACAGGAGCGGCAGCTGGAATGCCTATCACAGAAGGGAGAAAGTCTTGTGTCAGGATTGGAAGGGCTTGAATCCTAGGATCTTGGGCATATCCTGCCAGGAAAGCTGCCAGTCAAGAAGGCCTGAGAGAAAAGGGGGCCTCAAAGAAAGGGGGGACAGATGCGGGAACCCACCTTCAAAGCACATCTGTGCTATAAAATGTAAATTAACAATATCCAAAACTAAAAATTAATTATAAAACAAAAATAAAGAGTAAAAGGGCAGAAGAATAACTGTCAGCCAGATAGCTGATACCACAGAACTCCATCTCAAGCTGCAGGAAGTTAAGAATGAACTGAAGTAGCACGGGTCCACTCCTGCCGACATATTCTAAGACTGGAGCACAAGGAGGTGTACAGTGCAGGTGTGGCCCTGCAGGTACTACGAGCAGAAAGATCTCCAATCAAGAGTGCATGGGCATGTGCACAACCTCAGGTGGAGCACCCATAGGGAAAATAACTCAAAGATAAACTGTTCCAACAGAATATGGGTCCATCAAGGGTTTTCCAACCAGGTCTACTTCAGGGCAATGAAGATCAGACCCACTAACCACATCCTGCCAGTTAGAAGTCTCTCAGTGTACAGTGAACAACATAAAAATGAAATCAATGTTATTTCAACCATAAAAAGTACATCATATGTAGTACATACTGCAGTTGCTGACTGCTTCCACCCCTGTTACTCCACAGGCCCAAAACACTGGAACATCCCCAGGGTGAGGCTGAACTGGATCTCCATAGTCTGGGCTGGAAAGGTTTTGGATTCCTAACAGGCCTATGATTGACAAACAGTAAAACAACATTAAATTCCAGCAAAGCAGTAATGGTATAAAGCTGAGCTCATCCAGTGACACGGTGTTAAAATTACAGCATGGAAAGCAGCAATGGCAAAGCCAACCTATGACTCAAGTGGCTTGTTAGGTTCCCTTAGCATGCATGTATGTGTCCTCGGTTCCTCTCCTAATATTACACGCCTTAAATTTTTTTTGTACGTTAGTAAAACACAGATGATATTTTATTACATATTATATCTGGCTGTATCTGAGACAAATGAAAACCTGCTGAGCACTCTCTGAATTTCAGAGTTCCTAGGAAACGTTCTTACAATAACTGATCTGTTCACTCAAGAGCTACTTTCATAAGAGTTGTGGTGGGTTATTCCTATTTGCCACTACAGGCATGTTCCTACCTACAGCACATTCTCCAGTGCTCTGTCCAGCCCATTTTCATTAACTAAAGATAAGGGCCTCCGCTACTTCCCTTTGGCAGTTATTCCACAGCTTATTAGATCTCACTTATCAAACCTTTCCTGTTCTTCAGCCTAAATTTTCCTTTGCTTGACTTAATTCAATTATTTCTAGTTATACTGTCCTGGATCATCCTAAACAATTGATCTTTCTCCTTTGTGTTTATGTTCTTCAGACATCTGCAGCTGGTTTTCTTATTTTCCCTCACCTGCCTTAGACTTCATTTGAGTGAGCCATATGTGATTATTTAAAACTCTCCTCAGAGACCAACAAAAATAGCCTCAATCATTTTTGTTGGCTCTTCTCTGAATGCACTCCAATGTATAGTTTGCTTTCTAGCAGTTAAATACCCAGACCTCTATGCATTATTCTAGGTGCAGGGTCACTAGTGCTATATAGACCTCCCTCCATGCTCTGTAATTTGATAAAACCAATAACTTCACTGGCTTTTTTTATTACTACCATCTCATAATAAAAGGTCATTTCTAATATGTTTTCCACTGTTGCCCTTTGATCTTTTGCTTTCCAAACATAATCTTCCTATTGAATAGCTGTGTTCCATTTTTCCCCTACATGAATGAGCTTACATTTTTCTATGTTGAACTTCATTTTGTTTGTTCTTGACTGTATTTCTAAACTCTCCAAGTCAGTTGTATTATTTTCTCTGTCCTCAGAGTTGTTTTTAACACATCTTAGTTCAATATCATTTTGAAATGCAATGTGGTGTTTACTTTCAAATTCATTAATGAAGATGCTAAATAATACCAGACTTACAACTGATCCCCTGTCTCGAAATTGACATCTCCCAACACTGCCATTTATTGTTCCCCTTTCCAATGATGGGACAGTGCACATATTCAAGCCAAACCACATGTATTTTTCAAATAAGATTTAATCAAATACTTTACTGAAATCAATATAGACTACATTACTTCTTTCCCTGTTTCACACATCCATCTCTTTATCCAACACATTTTCTGTGTTCAGTCACATCAAACCTTCACTTTCAGCTAAACTAAATTGTAAACAAATCAGTACCTATGTACCTATAAAAAGGTTTAGGTTTTTAATGTAGCCACTTGAAATTTAGGCTGATGTTTATTGTTCCCTGTACCTTTTGTTAATTTTTTTCCTTGGCTTTATAGTTTCAGTCACTCCTAGAATAAAATGTATGGAATGTACACTGACCAGGGTTACCAATGTGAATTGGTGCTCCATGTGAGTCTTTCAATGGATAAGTAGCTCCCACAACTGCTTCTAACTTGTCTTCAGGAATCGGTCTCATCGTGACCACTAAATTGCAGCAAAAACTAGCAACTCCGCAGCAAGGGATATCTGTCTGACAATATTTTAAAAATAACCAAGGCATTAGCAGGAATTGAAGAACTATCAAGGTTGATTTTCAGTTCTGAAATGACTATGCACCCTTGAATTTATAAGGGGCACATTTTAACATATATTTTTAAAGGATTTTGAGTAATATTCTAACTAGCATCTAATGAAAATAATCCATTTCCTATAACAATCAATAGTGAAGAAACCAGACATTCTGCCCTTTAGCTCTTGTAATTAACTTGTATTACAGTGAATATCTTCTGCACCATTAATTATGTTCTAAGAGCTAAATCCTTAAATTGGCATATGCAGCATGAATTTTGGTAAACCCAGATAAACTGTGGATCCCAGGTATGTAGCCCTAACTGCTAGTTTTCTCTCCTTCTATGGGCGGTTGGGGGGGAGAGCGGGGTAAAAAGCACAAAGAAACGGATCTATTGGCCACAACCCTCCATGCATGCTAAAATGCAGGGAACAAAGGTCCTACAGATCCTTATCGCAGTACAACCCAAAATTGGCAATCCTCCATTTCCATAGCAGAAATATTCAAGTTCCTTTGGGCCAGGGTCTTTCCTGCCATGGAAGAGGAGTCACAGATTGGTCCTAAGAAATTTTAATGTTGAGTCATTTCCACTTAGAAACACAAATCTAGGTTATAAAGACAAAATGCCTTACTTCCAAGTTAATTTGTCATTTGAGAAATAGTAAGCAAACCAAAAAATAATACTGTCTGCACAGGAAATGTTTAATAAAAGGTATTAGATTTCAATTAAAGTATAAAGAGATAATAGTTAAGAATCATTCATAGGTCTAAATTCAAAAGATAAAATAAATGCTATCTTGATAATACCATTACTGAAATAAATAGCGATATTTTCTTAATTCTAGAATGGAATAAACACAATTAGAAAAATTCTTCTTTATAAACAACTGTAGATATTTTCTCCAAGCTGAAGACTAACATAGGCTCTCACTGTGAGAGTGATATTTTCTTCTAATTGAGACCAAGAAAACAGAAACAAACATGTTGAATGATAACCCAAGGTGAAACAAAAATCCATTGCATGGTACAGTCAACCTTTTAACTAAACATCAAAACCACGTGGAGATACTAAAAGTGGTTTATTAGTAGGCAATATTGTGTGTATTGGAGATGGTCTGTGGTACAGGTTTCAGTGTACAAAAACGTGCTGATGTAACCCTATCTGAACCTCGATGTAATTTTACAATTACTGTATTCTTACCTTGTACATGCTTATGTTGCATTTCTGCTCGAAGTTCCTTAGAGGAACACCAACCTTGTGGACTGCCTTTTCAAATGAGAAGCTGCAGCCTAAATAAAAAGTCACCATGTCTTTAAGCTGATCAAAATAATCCTTCAGACTTGTCAAAGTGCCAGTACAAGCTCCATACTCATATATCCTGTACAGCAGGCAATCAGTTCTAATGAAATAAAGGAAAAGCTATATTGTCAAAATTATCACAATTTTTAAAGCAAAATGAATTATTACATGAAGAAATGTTGCCTAAATTGACATTCATGAAGTGTTAAATCTCAGGATTTTTCCTGTTCTGTTCATTTCTTTTTCTTCTTGGTGATAGCGCAACCAACACAAAATAACTGGTTAATCTACCTTGCTGTAACGGTTGACTTTTAATATGGGTTGCACATGTCTGTTCCACTGTGGGTGTGAGTGCACCCTGTGCATAGTTAGAGATTTTTTCCCCCTCAGTGGTACCAGTTGGTGTGGCTTGAGAGCCCTCTCTCGCCATGCACCGATGCGTGCTGGTATAAGAGAGCAGAGCTGCCGCTGACCTGCCATAGTTCCTTTGTACCAAACAAATTCCCATAGAGAGGGGAAGGCAGGAGCGTCATGGAATGGACATGTGGAACACATCTTGAAGAACAACAATTACAGAAAGGAAAGTAACTAGCTTTTATTCTTTGAGTGATTGCACATGTCCATGCCACTGTAGGTGACTCAAAAGCAAACATGCAAGGAGGTGGATTCGGAGTCTACCTGAAGAGTGATTGTAAGATAACTGGTCCAAAACTGGCATTGTCTTTGGACCAGTGGTTCTCAACCTATTTACCACTGTGGGCCACATATGCAGTTCTCTATGTGTTATGTGGGCCAAATCCACACAACATATATACTACCTCTATGGTCCTAAGGATATCACATGGGCCACAGCTGTGTGCTAATTGGGCCACGGGTTGAGAACAACTGCTCTTGACTGACAAAAATGGCATAATGAGATGCAAAAATGTGGACTGATGACCAAGTGGCTGCTTTACAAATGTCTACAATTGGCACTTGTGCTAAGAAAGCTGCAGAAACTGCCTGCGCACTCGTAGAATGTACTAACACTCTAGTTGGTGGGATTGTATTAACCAGTCGGTAGCAGAAACGAACGCAGAGATCCAGGAGGAGATTCTCTGAGTGGAAACTGGTTGGCCCATAGCTCTGTCTGCAACTGCTACAAACAACTTCATACAGGATCTAAAAGATTTAGTTTGTGCCAGGTAGAAAGCTAAAGCTCTTCTCACATCCAAGAGTGAAGCTTTTCCTCATCCCTATGTGCATTGTGTTTCAGACAGAACATGGGCAAATAGATTGCTAGATTAACATGAAAATTAGAGACTACTTTTGTGAAAAATTTTGGGTGGGGGCAAAGATAAACTTTATCCTTATGGAAAACTGTATGGGTGGCTCTGACATCAGAGTTTTCAACTCACTCACTCTTCTGGCTGAGGTAATTGCCACCAGAAATGCTACCTTCATGGAAAGGTGAAGAAGGGTGAAGGAGGGAGCAAGTTGCAAGGGGCTCAAAGGGTGGTCCCATCAATTTTGCTAGGACTGAGTTCAAAAGATCCCAAGGAGGGATGGGGTCTCATACGTGTGGGTGTAATCTGACCAAGCCCTTTAAAGATCAGGTGAGGATGAGTTTAGAGAAAGGGGATCTGTTATCCACCAAGACATGAAAGGCTGAAATAGATGCCAGACACACCCTTATAAAACTAATTGCAATACTCTGTTTTAAATCTAGAAGATAGTCAAGGACGAGGTTCAGGGGCCCTGCTCTGGAAATACACCTTTCCTATGAGACCAAATGGAGAAGGGCTGCTACTTAGCGAGGTAAAAGCTCCTAGCTGAGGGTTTTCTGCTATTCTGAAGCACTTTCTGAACATCCTTTGAGCAGGACATTTCAAAAGTCATCAGCCATAAAGCATCCCATGCTGTCCCATGGATGTTGGGATGGAGAAGGTGCCTGTGGTCCTGGGAAATGATGTCTGGATCCAACAGGAGAGACAGAGGAGGCTTGACTGACAAGGATAGTAGGATTGAGTACCTGTGTTGAGGAGCTATGCTTGTGCTATGAGGATGAGGTGAGCATGGTCTTGTTTCGCTTTGAATATGACCCTGGGAAGTAAAGGAATCAGAAGGAAAGCATACACAAGGGATTCCTTCCAGGACAGGAGAAAAGCATCTGCCAGTGAGCCTGGGCTGAGCATCCCCAGGATCAGAATGGATTGCATTTTCCGTTGGTTCTTATTGCAGACAGGTCCACTTGGTGGGTCTCCCAGAGTTGGAAGATGAACCTGGCTATGTCTGAACATAGTGATCACTCAAGATGATCGGAGAAGGATCTGCTCAGCTGATTCGCTAACATGTTCTGTTTCCCTGGAAGGTAGGCAGCTCTGAGATAAACTGAGGTGAGACAGAAGTCCATAGGCAATTTGCCTTCTGGCACTGTTGGTCTGACCATGTTCCTCCTTGTCTGTTTATGTAAAGCATGGGCACCAAATTGTCTGTCAGAATTAATTATTTTTTCCCCACTATGTGGGAGAGGAAAGCCAAGCAAGCTAGACATACCACTCTTAACTCCCTAACATTTATATGAGTCTCTAGATCTTGAGATGACCAAAGACCTTGAGTTTGCAGGACCCCATATGAGCTCCTCAGCCCACTGAAGACACATCTGTGACCAGACTGAGGTTTGATAGCAGGGGGAGAAAGGGAATCCTCAGGCAAACTTTCAGAGGGTCCATTTATCACTCCAGAGATGACAGAACTAATGTAGAGACACTAGTCATGCTTGCAGCTTTCTGAGATGTAGTCTGGTGTGTTAAACTACACAGGTACATGCTACCATGTGGCCCAGAAAACTGAGGCAGCTATGTACTGTTACGAGAGGGTATGTTCTCAGTTGCAATACTTGATCTTGTAAAGTTTAGAACCTGGCTTGTGATAGAAAGGCCTTAGCCCTTGTGGAGTCTAAGACTGCCCCAATGAACTCTATTGTCTATACTGAGTTAAGGGCTGATTTGTCTCAATTTAGTAGGAACCCCAGTGCAAAGAATGTGGACAGGACAATGGATATAGTGGGCAGGACTTAAGCCTTGGACCAACCAGTCATCCAGGTACAGGAACACACAGGGATACCAGATTTTCATAGATGAGCTACCACAACTGCCATGCACTTCATGAACACCCAAGGAACAGCCAACAGCTCCAATGTAAGCACCATGAACTGATAATTGCAACCATTCGCCACGAATCTGAGAAGCTTCTGATGGTCATGACATATTGCAACATGGAAGCAAGCGTCCTTTAAGTCAAGGGCAGAGTACCAGTCCCCCTGTTCCAGGGAAGGAATAACTGAAGCTAGGGTAATCATGCAGAATTTTATTTTCTTCAGGAATTTGTTCAACTCTCCTAGATCTAAAATAGGCCTGAGACCCCCATTTGTCCTGGGGGATGTAGTAGTAACAGTAATAGATGTCCTTCCTCCTGAGGTACAACGGGACTTCCTCTGTGGCCTCTGCCTGAAGAAGAGATTAGACTTCCTACTGAAGGTCAATTTTGAGAGTGGTCTCTGAAGAGGGATTGGGAAGGGGCCATGCTTAAGCACTGAAACTAACTATAACTAACAAACTACTCATTTACAACAGTATCTATATGCAGAAAAGAGTGAGAGAAGCACTTGTTACTTCAAGTCTGGATCACGCCGACAACCGTCACTGGAGGTACGAAGAAAATGAGCATGTCAGGGAAGATTGCGCTCTCTTATACCAGCATGCATTGACACTTGGCAACAGAGGTCACTTGAGCCACCCTGCTGGGTACCGCTGAGGGAAAAAAAAAATCTCTGACATCTGTGCATGGGGCATGTGCACGGGGCATGTGCACAACCATAGTGGAATGTGGAATCACTCGAAGAACAGCAAAAGCTTGCTTGTCCTACACAACTACATGTTAAGCCAGAAACCTTGGGCACACATTCAAGCCATCTACACATTTTATTCTTACTAGACAAATGCTCCTGAGACTTATCTCCTTCTCATGAGCATTACAAAATTAGGGAGCCGCTGTTTTTCAGAGTTCTGACTCTTGCTCTGACTGCTTGCTCCAGAAGTCAGTCTCCTAACCACCTCTGAGCAATGTAGAGCAACTATATCAGTGCTGCTATTGGATAAAGCAGAAATGGGGAAAAATAATATTGGCTAACTCTGAGGTCTACTACTGAGAGATCTTTGCAACTAAATATAACTTCATTTTTTGGATCACTGAAACAATTGAAAAGTTGACAACGCGGATTGTAAAGGGGTGTCTGTCAAAAACTAGGATAATGGGTCAAATTCTATGCTATTGCCTCAGTCCATTTTCTTCAGTTGCAAAGGTATAACTGAGAGCAAGTTGGGCTCACTGTGTACAAAGCTATGGATGGTCTGCACTCTGGAAAATGTTATCTTCAAATAACTTCCAGTATCCATATCAGACCTGTGAGACACCTGGAAAGACTTCCACACTTACCGGATATCACAATTGCTGCTCAGAGACGGACATTTCCATTCACCTGGTTTACTTCTGTACAGCAGTGGGAGAGGTCCATCATTTGCATGGCAAAACTTTTCAAAGTCATCAGCAAGGGATTTGTGCAAAATCACAACATTTGCCTGTTTATAGCCTTAAAGCATTAAAGGGAACAATTATCAGCTACTAATTCAATTGTTAATATATGTGACAGTAATATTTCTGTATGGATTTTACCTAGAGAAGAGATTTTTCTCCCTTGAAAAAGAGAATTTTAAAATATAATACAGACTACTATAGTTAAATAAAATTTCAATGTTTTTGGAAAGACTGTTTATAAAATCACTCCTAGATATGCTCTTCACAGTCAATGTTACTGCAATCATTTTAGTAGTGTAAGTATTTGGCATTCACCAGTTTGAGAGGGTGGCTTTTCTCTAATAAGCTATTTTATGGGGAAACCAGAACCCTACAATGACTTCAATTAAATAGTCTGGCAAATTGATATGTTATAGAACAGATTATCTTATTTGATGTAAATATTGGCATGGAAATAAAAAGAGTACAATACTTTGTCCATACAGCACTTTATTTTTCTTGTGTTAATGCAAAACTGCAACTCAAAACCAGTCTAGTAAGTAAAGATCTTTCATTACACAGCCCATTTTTCACAGGCATTTGAAACTTGGCCTTGGAAATGTACTTGGGTTGCAATTTAGCACACAAGGGTTTTCTCCCAGGAGTGAAATTTTGTCTGTTAGGTTAGATTCAAGTCATTTCAGCTATTTCTAAATTATAGGAGGGAAAATAATAGAATTATTACAGATTCAGACAGGTCTGCAATCACCTCAGAACCAGCTTTAATTTAAAGCATTTCATTTTTGCAAGCTACTATTCTGTAATAGGCCTCTGGCATCTTTGAGATTTTTCAAAATGAGAATAAATGAAAAAAGCAGATATTCATCTTTAAGCAGCAACTACTAAAATCTTTTATTTTTTTCATATGTAATACTCATTGACCACAACAGGGATGCAATCAAAGGGGCAGGTCTGGTCTACAGTATAAAATACACAGATTAATAGTCCCTAAAGCCCACATTTTTAAAAGGTATTTACGTGGTGTTGTACTCCAGGGATTGGCAACTTTTGGCATGCGGCCCATCAGGGTAATCCACTGGCAGGCCGCGAGACAGTTTGTTTATGTTGACCATCTGCAGGCAAGGCCCCCTGCAGCTCCCAGTGGCCGCAGTTTGCCGTTCCCGGCCAATGGGAGCTTCAGAAACTGTACTTAGCTGTACTCAGTGCTGCAACACCTAACTGATTTAGGAGCCTGTGAAGGGATTGACTCACCACTAGCAACTAAGTGTAGCCAGCCAGGCATGGTATATCAGTTCTTTCCCCAACAGATACCTTCTGCAGTGGTCTGCCTCTTCCCGTGATGTGGCCCTCTGGCCAGGTCATTTTAAAGTCTCTCCCCACCTTCCAGGATAGTCAACAAACAGAAACAAGGGGAATTAACACAAATGAATCATCCCAAAATTGGATTAAGGCTCTCTTTCTTCAGAGGGCACTTGTCATGCTGTGGCCCTAAACTGAGTTTACAAGTAATAGAAGGGAATGGTTCCATCTCAAGATGAGTCAACATCTAACCCTCCCTTCTTTCATGGAGGGTCCATCAGTTCGTGGTCATCTGGGGAGTTCCTGCCTTCAGTCAGCCGTTTCTCCAGGAGCTGAGGACTGAATCTCTGCTTTCCTTCCTGATCTATCAACTGAGATGTGCTTTTCCCTCTTAAGCTACTTCCTCCAATCCTGACATCGCTCACAGATGCAAGGGGAACAGCCACCCTGAGCTCATATTAGCTCATTAACCCTGTGTTGCCCCATTACTAAGTCTAAATCTCAGTTTTAAAAAGTGACTTAGGCACTTAAGAGCTTAAATCCCATTGACAATCAACTGGCTCCTAGATCAGTCAGGCGTTGCAATGCTGAACACAGCAATGCCTAAATACCGTTCAAAAATCTGGGACTAACTGTGCCATCAGTACAGGTGATCTCTGACTTGAGGGTATACCCTTTTCAAGCCTTTGAGAAATCAGACAACCATCTCGTGGGAGAAGACTGATCAGATGTCCACCTTGGGATGGAAGGCAGAAATGGCCGTTAAGTGGACCTTGACTGACAAGAGGGCTAGGCCTTGTTGTTTCAGGAGCAGCAGGTACTCCAAGATAAGCTGTATAGATGACCGTAAAGGTGGGATCTGTCACTGGGATCACCAGATGGAGAATCGCTTCCATTTTGCAAGGTAGGTGGTTCAGGTGCAGGGCTTCCTACTGCTCAGTAGGACCTCACGGACCTGCTCAGAGCATGCCTGCTTCTCCGGGTTCAACCATGGAGCTTCCAGGCTGTCAGATGGAGACAGACGAGATTTGGATGTAGCAGCTGGCCATCTGGAAGATCAAGTCTGGGTGCAGTGGAAGCTGAATTGGCACCTCCCCTGACATGCTGTGGAGAGTGGTGAACGAGTGCTGTCTGGGTCATGCTGCGTTTATGAGAATGACTCAAGCTCGTGGTGAGAGGAGAAGAACCTGCTGAGGCAATCCGCTAGCCAGTTCTGGGTTCTCTGGTCTTGACCCTCCGGGGATCCTGGTAGTGGCAGGGTGAGAAGGTCCCTAGCCATTGTGAATGCCTTAGGAGTTGACGGCATTGCAAACTGGCTGGTGCATTGTCTACTCTGAGGTTGCTCCTTTGTAGGTGTCCAAGGAGTTTGCTGTAGCACTGGAGTTGTCGACACCTGATGTTCTGGCGCTGGGGGAGACAAACGGTCCAGCGCGGATCTCACTCTCTTCCTGTCTCCCTTTGATTTCAGCACCAGAGACCTGGTCTTGTCTTGGTGCTTGTGGTGTTTCTACAGGAGGGCGATCAGTGCCGAGAGTCCCAGGTCGATGGATGGGCGTTCGGCACAGAAGCTGAGGTGCTTGGTGCTGAGTCCGAGCGTGGCTCCGAAGCTGGTCTTAAGGCTGCCTCCATGAGGAGGACCTTCAGTTGAGCCTCTCGGTCCTTCTTAGTCCAGAGTCTGAAGTCCTGCAGATTTGGCAGCAGTCTTTCCTATGAGCTTCCCCCAGGCACTTGAGACAGCTCGAGTTGGGGGTCACTCAAAGGCATAGTTTTATTGTAGGCAGCACAGGGATTGAAACCTGGCAACCAAGGCATGCCCTAACATCGGGAAGGCAGATGACCCTGCAAGTTAAGTGTGGAAGCATCGGAGCTATTTAAAACCTAAAACTACTAAAAACTACTCTAACTACTAACCATAACAACTACTTACACTAAAACTGGTATGAAAAAACCACTAGGAGAGAACTGCTTAAGTAATGAAGGATTCCAGCCAACCATCACAGGTGGTAAGAAGTAGGGTGACCAGACAGCAAGTGTGAAAAAATCGGGACGGGGGTGGGGGGTAATAGGCGCCTATAGAAGAAAATGCTCCAAATATCAGGACTGTCCCTATAAAATAGGGACATCTAGTCACTCTAGTAAGAAGGAACTGAAGGGGAACGGGGTCGGAAGGGCCCTTTATACAGGTGCCATGTGCACACGGCACCAGAGGGCGCTAGAGCCAACCCGATGGTTACCGCTGGGGGAAAATTTCTAGCAATTGTGCTTGTGGCATGCACACACCTACATGGGAATGGAAATGTGCCAGCACTCGAAGATGAATAAATAGTGCACTTGGCCCATTAGAGCACTGCAGGTTACTGTCACTCTGGGTCCTCTAGGTGGTACTTCCTGCGGTGCCTATTCTCAACAGTGGTTCCTGGACATGGCACTGCATGCCATCCTAGTGGCACTCTGTGAACTTCAGCTGCCCCAGGCTCTGCAGACCTGGGTTCCAGTCCACGGATCCTTATACAAACTGCAACTGAAATATCTGAGACATGATAGAAGTAACTGTTCTTTACATAAAGGAAAAAATATCAATATTAACTTAACATCCTAGGCCTGACCTAAACTGACAAAAGACAGGAAACCAAGAGACAAGGCTACCCACCCTGCTCTTAAAGGAAAATTGCAAAGCAAAGGTAAGAATTGAGGTATGCACAAATTTATGTACTGAATGCTCCCCCCCAAATCCAATCTCTAGGGAGTTCACAGGACAGAAATAAATTTTATTTCTAAATGTACATACTAACTACAGAAATACATTTATTACTAACCATATTTAATACTAAATGTAAATAAATATATTAAATTTAATACTAAATTTAAACATTTTCCCCCTCTGAAGTCCACTGACATGTCCTGCTTTGCTGAAGATATTGCAGAAAACATACATTTATGCTTTTATTGAGCAGAGACGAAGATGAACACATGAGGTTAAAAACACCAATCAAACCATCTGACATCATGCATCCATAGCTTAGAAATCTACTATAAATTCAGGAAATGAAGGTTACTAGAATTCTTCAAGGAGGATTCTGCATATTAACACCCTTGGGAGGTGACAACTGGTGTAGCATGAACAGTGGAACTTGCTAGTAGTAATGCCTATTATAGTACTCACATGTCCCTCCTATAACTTATCAGTGTTCAAGCACATTTGGAGGCTACAAAAGGGGGGCATGGCATCAGCTGACCCCTCAGTTCCTTCCACTGCTAGTGCAGAGTATAATAGTATTACTTAATTAGGACTACACAGAAGAGGGGAAGGTGAGCAGGGAGTGTGAACATGCAGAGTTCATCTTGAAGAACTTTGGTTACACGTAAGTAACCTTCATTTCTTCTTTGAGTGTCTTCTGCATATGTCCATTCTTGGGACAGTTTGGCAAGCAGTTATTTTAAGAATGGATGGAGGGATACAGAGCGCCAATTAACAAGGACTGAAGAACCGCTCTGCTAAATGGAGCAATAGGTCTGGCTGTCAAATTTAACACACGATGTTCAGTGAAAATGTGAATTGTATCCCAAGTGGAAGCTTTGCAATATTTTAATAAGGGGAACATGGCTAGCACATGTTGCAGATGTAGCAACCACTCTTGTAAAGTGAGTCCTAATACCAGCAGTAGAAAAGTAGGAAGAAATGTTATAAGACTCCATTATACATTATCTAATCCAGTAGTTCTCAAACTTTTGTACTGGTGACTCCTTTCACACAGCAAGCCTCTGAGTGCGACCCCCTCCTTATAAATTGAAAACAGCTTTTATATATTTAACACCATTATAAATGCTGGATGCAAAGCAGGGTTTGGGGTGGAGGCTGACAGCTCGCGACCTCCTCCTTGTAATAACCTCGTGACCCCCTGAGGGGTCCTGACCCCCAGTTTGAGAACTCCTGGTCTAATCCACCTAGACTAGGACTGGGCAGAAATAGCTTGGCCCTTACAGTGATGTAAACAGCTGATGTTTGCTAAAGGCCACAAAATCACACAAGGGAACAGGATGATCAGCTCCTTATGCACTTATCTAGAATGTGTGGAGGGGAAAAGCTACATGATCATAGGGAAATTCAGATTGAATGACAGATGCCAGAGGTCTCATGCTGCCCATAATAAAACATCCTTGGAATGTCTAAATATTATAGATGACAATTTCCTAACTCTAAACATTTTCCACCCAACATGGGGAAATTCTATATTAGACCTCATTTTGACATAAAGAGGAACTGACCACAGACCTAAAAATTAATGCTAGCTTAGGTTCAAGTGATCATGACTTGATCACATTTATAATGTGCAAACAGAATAAAGTCCATACCAGTAATTAATATACACTTGGTGTTTAAAAGGGCCAATTCCACTGACATTATAGGGAGCGCCGTTTAAGTGAGTTAATATGGATTTGGGAGCCTACCTTTAGAGACCCAGAATTTTCAAAAGAACCCAAGTGAAATAGATACAAACATCCTGTCTTTTGCATCTGTTTCACTTATGTGCTTTTGAAAAATCCTGGCCATTTATTATTATCTAGGAATGGGATTTATGTGTCCACCTACAGCTCTTGTGTTCACTTACCCTCAGCCATTCCAGAAGTATTACTTATATTGAGTATGTTGAATCTAATTAGTCTTCTGACTGTAAGGGGAAGAAGAGATTTCAAGCTTCCTGTAAAAACCATCTCTTCATCCTTGAACAGAAAAAAGTGACAATTACTGGATTATAAACTTAAAAACACAGCACATGCATTTTACTATTGCTTTAAAATCAAATGTGTCAGTTTCAAGGTTTGTGTTTCCTCTTAATATTCTGCGATGTCTCCTCTCTATTTGCAATTCTCAGTCTCAAAACAAAATGCAAACCACAAACTCAAAGGGTTGTTTCACAGATCGCAACTAAGCAGAGGCTGAATCTCCTAATGAATTAGCTACTGAGGTTCAGTTTATCAGTCTGGCTGCAATGTCAAATCTAGTTAGTTACAGTTAGGCAACATATAGACTTTATTCATTTTGGTAAGTGTTTAACTTCTTAAGTTTTTGGTTCCCAAAACCTTTCTGAGACTCTCAAATGCACAACTAGATTAGTCCATCAGATTTTGATTTGTAGAACTGATTTACTAACTGAAAATATCTCTGTAGATAGATTAGAAATTTAGCTCTTTGATAATCAGAGAATATATTTTCTGAATGTAATTGTAACCTTAATATTTCCTGTTTATATAGTATGATGGATACTCTTGGGTCAATTTTTCTGTTGGGGAAATTTAGGCACAAAGATGTTTAAGTGACTCATCCAAGGTCATGCAATGAGAGTTTGTCTAGACTGAGAAATATGGTTGAAGTCATACACGTTACCTAACCCTGACCTATCCTTGACCTTTTGTAGATGCAGGTTAACACCTTTTGTCTTGATTTTGTTAATCACAGTCCACCCTAAGTTCCCCACTCAACCTCAATCTGCTAAGCAGACATAAAAGTTGTTAACTTGAATCTACATTAGGAAAACATTCAAGTATAGGTCAGGATAAGGTAACATGTTAGCTAGCCTGACTTAACTTTGGACATTTGTCCTAGTCCAGACAAACCCTTAGGGCAGAGGTGTAAAAACTATGGCCCGCGGGCCACATCCAGCCTGCGGGACCCTCCTGCCCGTCCCCTGAGCTCCTGGCCTGGGAGGCTCGCCCCCGTCCCGTCCCCTGCTGTTCTCCCCTCCCCCACAGCCTCACCTCGCCGCCCTGAGCATTGTGCTGGCAGTGCGGTGAGCCTGGCCTGACCTGATGCTCTGTGCTGCATTGTGCGTGGATGGCTCCAGCTGGGCAGCGCGGCTGTAGCGCCGCCAGCCACCGGTGCTCCAGGCGGCATGGGGGTTGAATAGAGGGCAGGGGAGTTTGGGGGCGGGGGTGTGGATAGGGGTCAGGGCGGTCAGAGGGTGGGAAATAGGGGGGTTGAATGGGGGCAGGGGTCCCCGGGGGGGGCAGTCAGGAAGGAGGGGGTTGGATGGGGCGGCGGGGGGCAGTCAGGGGCAGGGTTTCCGGAGGCGGTCAGGGAGAAGGGGTGGTTGGATTGGGCAGGGGTCCCAGGGAGGAAGTCAGGAAGGAGAGGAGGGGTTGTCTGGGGCAGGCAGGGGCGAGGATTCCGGGGGCGTCGGATAGGGGGCGGGCCCCGGGCCACACCTGGCTGTTGGGGTGGCACAGCCTCCCCTAACGGGTCCTCCATACAATTTTGGAAACCCGATGTGGCTCTCAGACCAAAAAGTTTGCCCGCCTCTGCCTTAGGGTATGTTTACACTGCAGCTGGGAGCGAAACTTCCAGTCTGTGTAAACAGACTCATACTAGCAGGGATCAAGCTACCACGCTAAAAATAGCAGTGTGGATGTTGCTGCACTGGCAGAGGCATAGACTAACCACACAAGGATGGACCCCCAGGGTGTTGGGTGGGTCCAAGCTTGGGTGGCTAGCCCATGCCTCTGCCAGTGCAGCAACGGCCACATTGCTATTTTTAGCATGCTAGCTTGAGCCCTGCTAGTGAGAGTCTGTGTACACAGGCTTGAAGGCTCACTCCCAGCTGCAATGTAGATGTACCCAAAGAGAAAGGAAACCAGAAGCCAAGTCTCCTGGTTCCCAGCCCTTCTGTTCTAACAACTAACCTATGCCACCTCCAGACTATGCTCAACTCCTTGTTAGTAAGAAAACACCCTCCAAGTAATCAAATTACCTTACCATTGAAGTTATTTTTAATTCTGGAGATGCCATTATTGTTGAAGCAATTCCTAAAGAAGCAATAGTGGTTTTAAACATAGAAAATTCAGTGATGTTCTTTTAAAAGTTCATGAGTTAATGTACAACATGTTGTTATGGGTTTCTAGAAAATGGTAACTTCTGTTAAAAATCTACAGTGTTTTGTGTTATTACCATGACAATGCAAGATTCCAGTCCTAAGGGGTGATACATGAACCACTTTACTATGGTAATTTACATTTCTGAGCAACTTTATTATTAATTAACTTGCACTAAGAGTGCAGATGGGTTTTGATTGTGACATTCTGATCTGCTCTTGAGTCCAAATTTCAAAACCACTCCCAAAATATGAGGTATTCTTAAGTGGGGTTCTGGTTTGGTCCACTGTGAAATTCAGATCAAGTTTAGGGTCTGGATTTTGCACCCTGTACCTCCAGAACTTTTCATATGTTTATAGTAGGTTGGCAGCCCAAAGGAAGGAAGGTCTGGAATTTTTTTCTTGTCGTTTAGGGATTCAGACAAACGAAAAATAACTCTGTCACATCTCCTTTGCAGTTTATTCGGTCTTCTCTGATTTTGTATATCAGACTGAACTAAATGGAAGGACATTCCTCATTTTGTATCTTTGTACAGCACTAAACACATTGTCAATGCTTTATGAATAAAAATAATTTGGTTTAAGGATTCTGGTTTGGACCCATCTCTAGGTCAACTAATAGTAATTTTAAAAAATCTCTCAGTATTTATTATACCAAAGATAATCTTTATCAGCCAATCAGGTTACAAGAAAATTGATAGTTATTCCCTTAAAATGAACAGGAATACTTGTGGCACCATAGAGACTAACAAATTTATTAGCGCATAAGCTTTCGTGGGCTACAGCCCAATGGTTTTCATAAAATTAAATGATCTTAATGAAACAGAATCCTCCATTAGAACCTTCCAAATTGTCTCTCTTTGTATCTATTCATCTGTGTTGAAGTCTCCTAGAGGACTAATAGCCACAGGAACTGGTAGGTCAATTAGAGAGGAAGGAACGTCCAGTGGTTAAGGATACTAGCTTGTGATTCAGGAGACCTCAGTTTATTTTCTGATCTGTCACTGTGTTGATTTTGGGCAAACCACTCAGTTTCTCTGTGCCTAAGTTCCCCATTTGTACAATGATGTTAAGAGTACTTTCTAATAAGCAAACTAGGGAAATGTGATCTAGATGAAATTACTATCAGGTGGGTGCATAACTGGTTGAGAGACCATACACAAAGAGTTGTTATCAATGGTTCACTGTCAAGCTGGGAGAACATAACTTGTGAGGTCCTGTCGGGGTCCATCCTAGGTCCAGTACTATCTGATATTTTCATTAATGACTTGGATAATGGAGTGGAGAATATACTTATAAAATTTGTGGATGATACCAAACTTGGAGCTGTCACAAACATTTCAAGGACAGGATTAAAATTCAAGATGATCTTGAAAAACTGGGAAATTGGTCTAAAATCAATAAGAAGAAATTCAATAAATGAAATTCACAACAACTATAAAATGGGGATTACTGGCTTGGCTATAGTACTGTTGAAAAGGATCTGGGGGTTATAGTGGGGATGACGGTTGAATTTGAATCAGCAACATGACGCAATTGCAAAAAAGACTAATACCGTTCCGAGGTGTATTAACAGGAATGCTGTATGTAAGATATAGGAAGTAATTATCCCACTCTACTCAGCGCTGCTAAAGTCTCAGTTGAAGTACCGTGTCTAGTTCTGGGTGCCACACTTTAAGAAAAATGTAGACAAATTGGAAAGAAGCCAGAGGAGAGCAACAAAAAGACAAAAGATTTAGAAAACTTGACCTGAGAGGAAAGGTTAAAAAAAAATTGGGCATGATTAGTCTTGAGTAAAAAAGAATGAGGGAGGAACCTGATAACAGACTTTAAATATGTTAAGGGGTGTTTTAAGGAGGATGGTGATCAATTGTTGTGATAAGCATCCGTAATATTACATCCTAAATTACACTCAACATTGTGAAGGGAAGCAATACAGTAGGAACAGAGAGTCAGTGGACAAGTCAACAAACTTACATGGTTACTCAGTAAACACTTGTGCACAGCTTTTTTTTAAATATTAAATAAATGACAAACTAAATCTGTCATAGATTTATTTCTGGTCAGTGCAGATGGGACATTTACTGCAGAAATGAATTTTGGCTCATTTCTTTATTCTTGCCTACCTCCTATTCTCCCTTTCTCTTCTCTACTACAAGGCTGATACATAACTGCAGCAACTAGCCTTGTGTTCTCCAGAGCTAGTATCTCATGCTGTGCTAGCATACTTTGCAAAAGTTAGGGCAACAGAGGGGAGAAGACAAACTAGTACATGGGTATTCAAATTTCCCATTCATATTATGAACCTAGTCTCTATGTATGGCCTACAGAGTTAGTTCCTGAGATGTTGCTGAGTTTGGGTCCCTGTGGAAGAAGTGCATTATTCCATCCACCATGAAGGCAGATTTTAAAATTGATAAGTAAGCCGTGAAAGGCATTTGTCTTATGGATGGTAATATTCAGCGAGAGCTACAGCATCCTATGATGGGCTATCCAAACCCCACACTAGACAAGAAGGAGTTAAGGTGCAGCTCTAGGCTCAGGCAGCTTTGCCTCACCACACAGGCAAGGCATGCACAGGTTGGAGGAGGAGCAGTTTAAAAGGGGAGCAGAGCTGCTCACTTGCTGGCAGATCAGTAAAGAGAACACAACTTCAGCTCCTGAGGCAAGGGCTGACTGAAAGTAAGTGTTTTCCAGATGACCCCTGCCTGAACGCCCCTCCCTGAGGGGAGAAAGTGTGGGTCACCCAGATTCTGATGCACTGAGGAGGAATCATTCTCCTCTATTTCTTATTAGCTCAGTTTATTTGTGTTAATTACCCTTACTTTTTGTTCATGGACTACCCTGGAAGAGGAA